TCTCTTCATGACACATTTCAAACTGTGAGAGGTTGGGGAACACTTAGCTGTGTGGGGAAGGAGGTGGCCAGTGCCAGTCAGGACCTTTCGGTGACTGTTCTGCCTGCCTTCAAACCCAGCTCTACCTCTGAGCAGCCATGTGGCCTTGAGCAAATTGACCTCTCTGGTCCTCAGTTTCTTCAGCTGTATGACAGAGATAATAGTGACATGTCCCCTGTGGGATTATGTAGAAGCTGTGCATGTGAACATACTTGTAATTGTTTAGCCACAACCCAAGAAGAGCTCAACTCTTTTAGAGAATGAATGTAAGAAGGTGCAGTTGTAGTCTGTTTTCTGTTGTTGCTAGCGCATACCAAAGACTGGGTAGGTTATAAAGAAAAGAGGTTTATTTTGGCTCACAGTTCTATTCCCAAGTTGAAGGCCTATACCTGGTGATAAGTGGTGCAGGACATCACACGGCAAGAGACAGGGAACACGTGTGTGTGTGTGTGTGTGTGTGTGTGTGTGCGTGCGTGCGCACGTGTGTGTGTGTTTCTGTGTGTGTCTCTGTGTGTGAGTGGTCTCTCTCCTTCTTATAAAAACCACCAGTATGCAATCCAGGGCTCCACCTGACGACATCAATCCTAACAGTTTTCCAAAGGCCTCTTCTCTAAACACTCTAGTTAGATTCAATTTTCCATCCTCTCAGTACCTCCCAATGGGGATTAAACTCCACAGTGACTTTCAGAGGGATCAGATCTTATTCAGCTCCACAGTGGGCTTGCAGTAGGTCCACACTTAGAGGAGACAGAAGGGGACGTGGCAAGGTCATTCCAACCCTAAGGCCTCTGTTTTCTATTTTCTTGTGCTTTCTCTCTCTGAGGCAAGATGCCACTGTTTTCTGACCCCAGGACAGTCAGGCTTGGGGGTCTGCAGGTCTCTGAGAAAGTGTATCCACCCTGTTCATATGTTTCCCTGCTTCCCATGGACCCCTGACTGGTAAAGGAAGGGTTCTCCTTCTGCTGTGAGGATGTGTCACTCCCCCACCCCTCCATTCCTGTGTGGCAGTATCCCCCCACTCGTCAGCAGAGGCTCTTGTTAATGCACACATGTGCCTTTGCTGAGGACGAAGTGTCTTTAAACTCACGAGTCTCAGTTTTCCCTTATTAACACAGTCAGAGTGAAACAGCAGAAATCGCTCTTCTTTTGTAAAGCATGTTGTGCCTCAGAGAGTTGACGGAAATGTAATTTCTCTGGCTCATTATGTCAAAACTGGCGTTTGAAACACGCACGAGGGCTCTTGCTAATGGCCCTTTGTATTAGTGAGGGCTCTCCAGAGAAACAGAACCAACAGGATGCTATGTGTGTGTGTATGAGAGAGAGACAGATAGGGCAGGGGGAAGATGTATTTATTATGGGAAAGAGGCTTGCGACATTATGAAGGCTGATGAGTTCCTGCAGTGTGGATGCTGGCAGTCTAGATGCAGGCAGGCTTGAGACCCAGACACAACTGAAGTTTCAGCAGAATCCAAAGTCCGGATAAAAACCAGTGTCCATCAGGCAGGAGTTTTTCTCCTTACTCCTGGAGGGAGGGTCAGCCTTTTGTTCTGTGGTGGTCTTTTACTGATTGGGTGAGGCCCACCCATACCAGGGAGGACATTTGGCTTTATTCAGTCTGTTGATCCAGAAACACTTGTCACAGACATGCACAGGATAATGTGTGACCACATGTCTGGGCTCCCTGTAGCCCCATCAAGTTTACATGTAATGTTTCCTTCATACCAGTAGTGCCATCTTGGGGTTCAAGAGTAGTTTTTGAGATTGGCTGGAATGGTTGGTGCTAAAGCCACCCTAGGTCTTGAAGCTGCTGTTTTCCAGCGTCTCTCACCGGTAAGTGTTCAAGTGCCGCATTTTAGCTCATAATTTCCTCACTACAAGAACTTGTTATAAACAATCAGGAAGAAGGAAAGCCAGTTTCCACCTGTGGAGGTACACTCTCATGAAGCAGGGCTGAAGCAGGAGTCTCCAGAACCTTCTCCCAGGGTCAGCAGTCAGTCCTTGCCCCAGTGCCATTGGCAAACCAAGGTGTCAAGTTCCAAGTATATGGTGAGGTTGACAAACGGGCTTCTGCATTTTCAAGGCCTCATGATACCTGAAAAAGAATTCCATGTAGAGCCATGGCTCCTCAGCCTGAGGCCATCTGGGTGTGGTCTCTTTGAAGGTACACAGGGGGCTTTGTCAAGTCCTTGGGCTCATTGACATCTCCCTTTCTGGACATTCTGGATGGCTCTAAAGGCATGTGAATGTGCTCTTGTCTCTGGTTGTATGTTGGTGCCAGGCATGAGTCGGGGTGAACATGGCGGGGAGCCTTGCTCCTCTGCAAAGCCAAGTGCTCCTTCTAAACAGCTGCAAGTCATCCAGGTGGAGCTTTAGCGCTCTCTTCCTGAGAAAGGTGTGGGGTGTGGTTCTGTGTAAATTGGAAGTTGACCCTTGTCTTGAGGCCTTGGGGAGGGGTAGTTCTTCTTGGGCCTTTGTCTTGGATTGCTTGTGCCGTTCAGAGTCGTTTTGAGCTTAAATTCCCTCTATCTATATAACAGGGGTGGAATTGGCCAGGGATTATAAATTAAAGTAGAATGCAAAGATTTATTTTATTCCTTTGTTTGGGGGTGGAGAGACTAGGCAATCTATTGATGCAGGGAGGGTTGGACCAACAGTATCTGTAAGGTTCGCCTTTGTGCTTTTGCACAAAGCCTGCTTTGACCACTCCAGGGTCACTGGTGAGGTAACTGTCCATGTTCCTTTGGCTTAGCCTCTTACATCCAGACCTGGCATTGCACCATTCTTCATCCTGTGTTTAGAATCCAGGTAGACTCACACCTGTGCCTGTGTGTGTACCTGCAAGAACCTACAGAGACATTGTTTTATAACTTGGCTTGAGATCATCAGATATTATAGCTGAATTATCCTCTTTCCCAAAGTTTTACCTCTTTTCTCTATGCAAAGTATGTCAAGGAGCAGGTGCTATGTACAGGTCAAATAGGCTGAATGCCAAAGGTACAGTACTAAAATTTGTTATGTGAGTGAGTGACACTTTGGTAAATCTCATTTTTGGTAACTCACACTAGGTGAGTCAAGAGCAAGCTGCTGTTGCTAAGAATTTTCTTGAAAACCTGAAGGTGAAGTTCTGCTTTCATTTGTTTTGCCAACTTGTTGAAGAGTTTCTCTGTGCTGATGATTCCACAGAGAGCTCACCATGTCATTGACGTGGTCTCTGTGGGAATGGCTTCTGGTCTGCCAGGAGAATGTGTAGGAGACATCATTCTTCAGTGCACTTGGGACCTTTGAGTTTGGTGGGTTTCTCATGGACAGTGTCAAATATTCTTGTGAAGGAGGGACAGCAGAGAATAAACAAAAATTGAGAAGAGGTTCAAGGTAGTGCAGGAATAAGTGCAAAGAACATGGGTTGTCATGATGGCATTATAAACTTTCCAGCCATTTCCTGAGAAATATTACAGCCTTCATGCAGAGAGTCATTGTCAGCCCTCTCCCTGTGGCTGAGGGTGACCCTCTGCCATCCTAAAGGGAAGGGTGTAGCGTTCTAACAACTGTCCTCATAAATCCTCACAGTGGAAAGATTATCAACTCATTCACACAGGCCCTTGCCAAATGAGAGAGGATTGAGCATTTTTTACTTCTGTTTACAGTTCCTACCAACAACTTTTGCCAAGAACTTCCTGCACTCAGCCTTGTTAAGCTCATCTTCTCCCATGGTCCTCCCTCGCTTGCAAGGAGGAATTTTATTTTTTATTTAATTGATTTTATTTTTTAAAAATATACAACAGTGGAATGCATTGTAATTATTATTACACATAGAGAGCACAGTTTTTCATATCTTTGAATATAAAGTATGTTCACGCCAATTCATGTCTTTATACATGTACTTTTTTTTTGCATTACAATTCTTATTACACATATATACCATAATTTTTCATATCTCTTTTTGTATAAAAAGTAGGTTGACACTCAATTCGTGTCTTCATACATGTACTTTAGATAATGATGTCCATCACATTCCACCATCCTTGTTAATCCCTGCCTCCTCCCTTTCCCTCCCACCCCTCTGTCCTATCTAGAGTTCATCTATTCCTCCCATGCTCCCCATCCCTACCCCACTATGATTCATCCTCTTTATATCAGAGAAAACATTTGGCATTTGTTTTTTTGGGATTGGCTAACTTCACTTAGCATTATCTTTTCCAACGTCATCCATTTACCCGTAGATACCATGATTTTCTTCTCTTATTGATGAGTAAAATTCCATTGTGTATAAATGCCACATTTTTTTTATCCACTCATCCACTGAAGGACATCTAGATTGGCTCCACAGTTTAACTATTCTGAATTGTGCTGCAGTAAACATTGGTGTGGCTGTGTCCCTGTAGTATGCTGTTTTTAAGTCGTTTGGGTATAGTCTGAAAGGAAGACTGTTTTATTACAGTTTTATTTCTGATGAAATTGAGGCTTAGGGGGATTGGTTGACTTGCCCCTGATTACACAAGCAGAGTGTGGCTGAGCCAAGGACAACACTAGCTACTGCCAGCCAGGCTGTGCTGGATCCTGTCCTCATGGAATGTTGTGTTCATCATAGACTTTTTTTCTTTGTTTGGCAAGAATTTTGCATTCAGATATCAGATATCTGAATTCAGATATCATCTTGGTTACTGAGTTGCTGGTGCTTAGGGCAGGTGTCTCTGCTTCACGAGTGAGGACCTTACCACACCTTTGTAGTGAGATCAGTAACTTGCTGGAGGTCCTGTGGCTGCTGGGGTCTTACTCAAGTCTCCTCAAAGCCAGGCTGGAGGCAGCCACAAGATGCACCTTCAGTCAGGGTCATTGTGCCCTCATATGGGTGGAAGGAACCCAGCTTGGCATGGGCTGCCACGTCTGTGTCCAGCCCTCTGAGGCTTGGGCTTGGTAGCCTCTGTCCCAGCCCTGTTCTCATGAGTATGCTTCTCTTCCAGGTCAGGAAAGAGGTTAAAGAAGACCCGCAAGTATGACATCATCACCACTCCAGCTGAGCGGGTAGAAATGGCCCCTCTGAATGAAGAGGACGATGAGGACGAGGATTCCACAGTATTTGACATCAAATACAGGTGTGGGGTGGGGACAGATCTGTCTTCTTGGGCTCCAGGTGTCGGGTTGGCATTACAGTTCACCTTTGAAAGCACGGGAGCCGGGGCATATTGTGAATATGCTCTCTTCTCTGGTTGTATGTTGGGCCTTGAGTCATTCTGCTTCTGGGGGGGGACTTGTGCTGATCCTTTCCCAGGACACACAGCACCCATAGACCCAGCTGACAGGGAAATGCTCACCTCTCGCTTTTTCCAAATGAGAATGCTAAGTCAGTTTTAGGGGAGGAAAAGGAGGGTCAGACTTCAGACAAGGAACTGGTCATGCCCCTGGCTGGAGGAGGTCTGAGCTGATTCCATGGAAACCATAGACTGAACCATTTTTATGCTATCTTCACATCTCACTACATAAGAAAAGACTCTAAATAAGGTGATACAATAATCCATCAGTTTAGAAATTCTACCTATAGACTCTTTCTTTAATATAACATAGAGAAATGGCCCTTTCTTGAGGGCATGGATACAGGTGTAGTTTTGGGCAATGATGGATTAAAACTGTGTCTGGTGTAAATGAAGATGAGGTACTCATTGAAACTACTCTTACATTAAGAAACTTCCATGATGTGTCACAGTTCTTCAAATGATGGTGCATGTTCCACTGCTGGACTAACAATTAGTCCTGTATTGGCATTGTCACTGGCTATGAAATTCACCACCAGAGGTAAATGATTAAATTGAGCCACTTGGTCAGCATTCAAGTTACAGCAAATACTTTTTTAAATAATTTTTTTATTTATATGTGACAGCGGAATGCATTACAATTCTTATTACACATATAGAGCACAATTTTTACTGGTCTTTGTGGATCAATGTAATACTGTATTGATTCTAAGCCAGTATTACATTGATCCACAAAGACCAGTAAGTGCTCCATATTATATAATACACCCAGGCCTGCAGATAGAGGTAGATCCTTTTTATTATGAAAAATGATGGGGACATGGTTTTATTCATATTATATTTTGTTTCTTTGCACTGAATATGAGTCAGATAAAGTGACTTGGCAATAAAATCACTAATATTCCTGTGTGTAATATATATATATATATATATATATATATATATATATATATATATATATATATATAATTTTGCAGTATGGATGAATGTTACTAATTGATTTGATTCTTTTCAAAAGATGTTGTTACCTAAAATGAAAACTGTAGCTCATGGGTTTCTCCCCAGTCTGCTATCCATAACCAACCAATTTTAATGTTTGATTGTTTTTTATAAAATTTAGATGTGATTCACTAACAAACGCTATTTCCAAAACCAGTATGTATGTAAATATGATAATACAGACATTTTTTTCAGACATGAGTATAAATAAAATAGTATTTTAAGGTCATATATGAAGTCATCTATATGATATTTGTGTGTGTGTATGTAAAACACATCTACAAATATGTCTAACAAATTTATTAAAGATTTGTGAGTAAATTTTTAAAATTACTGCAGACATTTTTTTAAATACCTAAATAAATGGAAAGTTATTCCATGTTCATGGATTGGAAGAGCCAACATGAACACACTGAACTACAGAGTCGATGAAGTTCCAATTAAAATTCCAAACACTTTGTTTTTGTTGAATCTGAAACTTATTTATATAGAAGGACCAAAAAGATGGCTGAAGAGAAACCAATGACAGTAGGTGTAGAAGGCTTGCTACCCCAGGCATGGAGAGGCCATGGAATGGGGGAGGTCAGACTAGGACCCAGCCTGGATTTCTATTCCACTTTTCCTGCTACCTGGGACCTTATACAAGCAATTTCTCCAACTCTGAGCCTCCAAGCCCTCCAGCTCTTTCACTGAGAATCTCACATACTCAAAGTACATCCCAAAAGGATATGAACACCCATACTGCAGTTGTGATGTCACAAAGTCATCCTGACTTTCCTACAGACCACCTTTAGGAAACTCACCTGTCTTTGGAGATCATGGGAAAGTTCCATTCAATCAAGAATCCCACCCACCCATATCCTCGACTGTTGGCTTGCACAATGGACATTATTATTCAAAGTATGCACAATTTTTCATATCTCTGGTGTATACAAAGTATATTCACACCAATTCATGTCTTCATACCTATACTTTGAATAATAATGTCCATCACATTCCACCATCATTTATAACCCCATGCCCCCTCCCTTCCCCTCCAACCCCTTTGCCCTATCTAAAGTTCTTCTATTCCTCCTGTGCTCCCTTTCTCTACCCCACTATGAATCAGCTTCCTTATATCAGAGAAAACATTCAGCATTTGGTTTTCTGGGATTGGCTATCTTCATTTAGCATTATCTTCTCTAATTCCATTTATTTCCTTGAAAATGCCATGATTTTATTCTCTTTTATTGCTGAATAATATTCCATTGTGTATATATGCCACATTTTTTTAATCCATTAATCTACTGAAGGGCATCTAGGTTGGTTCCACAGCTTAGCTATTATGAATTGTGCTGCTATAAACATTGATGTGGCTGTGTCCCTGTAGTATGCTATTTTTAAGTTCTTTGGGCATAGATTAAGGAGAGGGATAGCTGGGTCAAATGGTGATCCCATTCCCAATTTTCCAAGAAATCTCTGCTTTCTATATTGGCTGCACCAATTTGTGGTCCCACCAGCAGTGTACGAGTGTGCCTTTTCCCCCACATCCTCGTCAGTACTTATTGTTTGTCTTCATAATAGCTGCCATTCTGACTGGAGAGAGAAGAATCTTAGATTACAATTATCTTATATTAGACAAAAACATGCATTGGAGAAAAGATAGCCTCTTCAACAAATGGTGCTGGGAAAACTGGAAATCCATATGCAACAAAATGAAATTAAACCTCTGTCTCTCACCATGCACAAAACTCAACTCAAAATGGATCAAAGACTTAGGAATAAAACCAGAGACCCTGCGTCTAATAGAAGAAAAAGTAGGCCCTAATCTCCATTATGTAGGATTTGGCCCCAACTTCCTTAATAAGACTCCTTTGATGCAAGAATTAAAATCAAGAATCAATAAATGGGATGGACTCAAACCAAAAAGTTTCTTCTCAGCAAAAGAAACAATCTGTGAGGTGAATAGAGAGCCTGCATCTTGGGAGCAAATCTTTACCCCTCACACATCAGATAGAGCACTAATCTCTAGGTTATATAAAGAACTCAAAAAACTAAACACCACAAAAACAAATATCCCAATCAATAAATGGGCCAAGGACCTGAAAGACACTTCTCAGAAGATGATATACAATCAATCAACAATACATGAAAAATGTTCATCATCGCTAGCAATTAAGAGAAATACAAATCAAAATAGCAAATACTTTTGTATTTTGAAAGCCCAAGTTAACTCCCCAGCCTGTTGCAAGGGCAAAAGTCAGTGAGAAACCAGTTCTGCAGGCATGCTCTAGAATGTTTTCACCACCACCTGAATTACAGACACTCTTTCTGATACAGCAGTGGCACGGGCCCTTCAGCATTGGGTCATTTTTGTTACGGGAATTGTGTTACCTCCCCAAGCACCTTCATATCTCTCCTCTGCTCCTATTCTAGGAAGAAACTCAGGACCCAGCAAATACATTTGTATTAATTGCCTAACCCAGGCTGTTGGCCATAATCAACCCTCCTATCTCCCAGGCTCAATCTCCATGCCTGGGTTTCTGCTCCTGGTGCTGCAGTCTTCTCTGTGTCACTCTGAGGACAGCATCAAAGACATGTTCCTACATAAGCTGCCACTCTCGATTAGTAACTTCTTCGGGAGTAACTTTCATAAAAATATTGTTTTTAAAACTTGTTCATAGCAGTTGTTTTTTTTCATAATATAGCAACTTGCCAAACTCTTATTAATTCTAGTAATATAAATATAGATTATTTTGGGTTTTTAAGAGTTGTAAGGGTCTCCTAGGCCCTTTTGCCCTCTCCCTAGTCCTTAACCATTTTTTTCTTTTTTTTTTTTACTCTTTTTTTCTATCTTGTTTTCTAAGTCAATGTTAAATAAAAGTGGTGATAACAGGCAAGATCTTATTCTTGATCTTAAAGGGTATGCTTTCAATATTTGACCACTAAAAGTTATAGGGTTTCTGTGGCTCTCCCTCCCCCCACCCCCAGGAGGTTTCCCTCTATTCCTAGTGTCTCAAAGGCGAATTTTATTCAGTGTTTTTTTTTTTTCTTTAATCTGTTAAGGTGGTGAATTGATATTCTTTTTTTTTTTTTTTTTTCTTGGTACTAGAGATTGAACTCAGGGGCACTCAACCACTGAGCTACATCATCAGCTCTATTGTTTATTTAGAGACAGGGTCTCACTGAGTTGCTGAGTGCCTCGCTTTTGCTGAGGCTGGTTAGAACTCACAATCCTCCCACCTCAGACTCCTGAGCTGTTGGGATTACAGGCATGTGCCACCGTACCCGGCTGATATTAACTTTCTAATATTCAATCAGCTTAGCATTCCTGAGATAAAATGAGTTTGATCATGTTATCTTTTCATATGCATTGCTCCACTCAGTTGGCTAATATTTTGTTTAGAGCTTTCTTGTCTCTCTTAATGACTTAGATCTAGTCTGTCATTTTCCTATTTTGTAACAGCCCCATAGGACTTAAGTTTTCCTCGTGTCATAAAGTGAGTAGAGACATGGTTCCTTATTTTCCACTTCTCTGTATCAGTTTGTGTAAGATTGGAATGACTTGTTTCCTAAATGCTTAATATAGCATGCTAAAACTGGCTGGGACTGATGCTTGCTTTGTGCATAGAGTTTGAAAAACACCAATGTTCAGTTCTTCGAATAGTTACAGTACTATTTAGTCTATTTCTTCTTGGTTCAGTTATCCTGAGTTGTCGTTTACAGGGATTTTGTCCATTTTGTCCAAGTTTTCCAATGTGTCTAATGAAGTCACTCCTAATATCCTTTTATTATCATCTTGTAAATCTTGGAAACATGGGAAATGCAGGTGGTCCCCTTTCTTAATTCTTATTTTTGCCTTTTCTTCTTTTTTTTTTTTTTTCCTGGATGTCTTGCAGCAGGTTTATCAATCCACACAAAGAACTAAAGTTTGGCTCCTTTGATCCTATCATGGTTTTCCATTTCCAGTTGATATTTGCATCTCTTCCTTTCTCTGAGTGTGTTCTGTTCTCTTTTAACTTCTTTCATTCAATGTTTGACCTGTGTGGCTACCTCCCGCGGACACTCACTGTCACTGTCAGGCTCTACCCTGCCTCCCTGTTTATCCTGCAGAACTGAACTTTGGGTGGATCCTGTTAGAAGTTTTGGCTGTTTGTGGTTGAGATAAAAATCAGGATGTGAACAAACTTGAAGCCCATTCACCAAGTCCGCCCCAAGTCATCAGGCCCTAAGACAATGGACCGAGTAACAAAGACTGGGCAGTAGTAGCTTTTCTTTTTTTGCAGGTGTAATGTCCATTACAGAAACTACAGGTAAGAAATGGGGGAAATGAAATGACCTATGATCTCATTGCTTAACGGCAACCACTAGAGTGTGTGTGAGTACCCATCTGTGGATTTCTGAACTAAGTGTGTGTGAGTGCTGCTCATGTGGATTTTCTTTCTTGTTGAAATAGGACCACGTTGCAGTGGCTGTTTGGGAACACTTCTATGGCAACATTTTGCTAACAGCTTTTCAGGTTAACAAGTAGGAAAGAACAAAGGCTTTAAGGCCGGTTTCCTGTTGGGTGTAGTGTTTTTAAGCTCTCCTGTCTGCTCATTGATAATCTGTTCATGGGGGCTTCTTTTTCCTATTAAGTCTGGCTCAACCAAAAGAAATTTTTTTTTGTTCTTTCTAGGAAACAGACTGCATTTAATTCAGATGTGATTGGATCATGACTGTATTATTTTATGATCAAGTGGAAAGAGTAAAATCATGTATTTTAGTGCCAAGGTAGTAAGGTGATAACCCGCCTATTTGTACTGCACGTGTAATTTTCTGATAACGTCTCATCACTTGGAGCCTCTGCATTATCAGTAAGGCCTTTTTTCCGCCTCCAAGTTTTTAGCCAGGTGGGAAATGCAGAGGAAGAGAAGATGGGCAGAGGGAGGCTTCTGTTGACAGCACTCTCTTTATGCTCCGTGTACCTGAGGTGTCGTCATCCATGAGATGAGACCTCCAGCCATTCTGGCCAGAGAGGGGTAGGAGAGTCTTTAGAAATGACTTTCCAACTCTGCACTTAAAAAGACTAATTAGAAGGGGGAAGCGATTGCTAAATGGAGCACAGAGAACCCTGGGGTTTTGAAATGGTTCCATATTTCAAGAGTTGTTTGGATTTCTCTTGTGTGTGTTTGGGGCACGGTTGGCCTAGCGTGCACTTGTGGTGGATGCTTTGGGCCTCTGCGAATCCCTGGTTCATTACAGGAGACTTTTGTCCCACCCTCTAGGCATCCCCCAAGGCAAGGCAAATGCTGGCTCTTCCTCCCGCTTGTGTTCTGGGCAGCTGGGCAGCTGTGACCAACGCGGCCCAAAGATATGCTGCAGAGAGAACCCACTGCTCCTGCCGGCCCTGCCTCCCTGCCAAGAGGCAGGTCTCTGTCCCCAGTTCTTAAGTGTGGAAATGGTGTCCCAGGGGGTGTGTGGACAGTATAAACTGCCCACCCTCTTGGGGATAGAACTTGCTGCAATGGTGTAATTAGAAACCGATGAGATTTCTGCTGTAATGCTGGGATGGTTTCTGACATCTCATTTTGGGAACAAAGGACATTCCATGCTCTTCCCAGCAAGAGGTCCCTGCAGGGTAGGCAAGGAGTGGGAGAAAACACACCTACTTGCTCCTCCTAGGCTGAGGCTTTCCGGGCTCTCATTGCAGTTGCTGGACACTTTCAGGGTGGTGACTTCTTGCAGCTGCTTCTGCTTCTTAAGGGGCCCTACTTGGCTGGGCTTGGAAGGCCCTTCTACTCACCCAGACCCTGGGCATTTAGTTCTGTTGTGGACAGAGAATCACCATGATGGGTGGTGGGGCTCCCCTCTGCTCCATTGCTCTGGTACAAGGGGTATAAACTGCAACCAGGATGGAGTGAAGGCCCAAGACCAGGTAGAGGGTCTGGGTGTGCTCTTGGGGCCCTGGTAAGATGCAGAGTTGCTTCTCAGTGTGGATTCACTCCCCCACTCCCCTGCCCACAGGAGGGAACAGGTGGCTGCTGTAAAAAGCCAGCCTGTACCGTGTGGACATGGCGGCTCCACCTGTATACTCTCCTTCCCCTGGTCTGTTGGATCCCTTGGCGGCTAACATGAGGATGCCCATGTCTGTGTTTTTCTTTAAGGTTTTTAGTTAAGACAACTTTCAAACTTAGTGCAAAAATACAAATAGTATGGGGAGGACACCTTGTACCTTTCACTGAGATTTTTCCATTTTTGATGTTTCTTCTCACCTTATGATTGCCCTGTGTGGGTGTGAACATGCAGTTTTTTTTCCCTGAGTCATTTGAGGGTACATTATATATATTTTTATATATCTCAATATCATGGCCCTTTCCCACAAACATCAGGATTAACGCATCATGAACTGGAAATATAAGTAAAAAATGCGTTTAATGCACCTAACCTAGCAAACCTCATAGCCCAGCAACACAGTTCTCTGGAGTGTTGCTTGTTTGCCCCATGCCCATGTGGCTGGCTGGGAGCTGTGGCTTGTTGCTGCTGCATTGGGAGAGAGTTTCCCAGTCTGGGAAGAGTTTACAATTCAATGTGTGGTTTCTACTGAATGTGTATCACTTGTGCCTCATTGTAAAGTTGAAGAATCATAAGTCTAACTCATGTAAGTTGGGGACTGTGTGCATGAATTTCCTAGAAACAGGATGTCCAGTACTCAGGAGGCTGAGGCAGGAGAATCACCAAGTTTGAGGCCAACCTGAGAAACCTAGTTAGACTCCATCTCAAAATAAAATAATTAACAAAAGCTGGGGATTTAGCTTGAGGTTGTAGAGTGTGCCTGTTCTATCCCCGGTAAAACACACACACACACACACACACACACACACATACACACAAAGGATGTCCATATCTTTCAGTAAATCACTAACTGATGTGGTAATATTTGGGAGCATGAAATTACAAAAAGGCATCCATTTTATAAATTTTATTAAGCCTTCATTTTTACATGTATGATTATATAATACCTGTAATCCAAGCATTGACAGATGATGGTAGCAACTGTAACTGGTCAGCTTTTTCCTCCCGAGTTCCTTTAGATGATATTTTGAATAGACTTTTTGAGTTTTTAAACTTTTTAAATATTACTTTCAAAAATATTTCTTGTATTCATTACATTGTCTAACCCTACTTTGGTGCTGGAGATTAAAGGTGAGCAAACTTTGGACATGGATCTTGCCTATATGATCTGTGATTCTAAGCAAGAAACAGATACTGATTGGGTACTTACACAATTGGGGGTCAGCAAACTACAGCCCATGGGCCAAATTTAGGCCACTATCTGTTTTGTACAAGTGTGTTAGTCAGCTTTCCATCACTATAACAAAATACCAGAGATAATCAACTTAAAAAGTGAAAAGTTTTGTTTTAGCTCACAGTGTGGAGGCTTCAGTCTGTGATCAGTTGGCCCTGTTGCTTTGGTCCGGTGGTGAGGCAGCACATCATGGCAGGAGCACGTCGTGGAGCAAAACCGATCACCTCATCAGTGAACCAGAAAATAGAAGACAGGAAGTGACCATGGTCCCATAAATCCATTTGGGAACATGCCCCCAGTGACCTGGTGGTCTCCCACTAGTTCTGCCACCTCCTGGTAGTGCCAGCTTGGGGATCAAGCATTTAATACACAGACCTTTAGGGGGACAGTCCAGATCCAGGGTATAGTAACAGCTTATGAGCCAAGAATGATTTCTATATTTTAATGGTGGAAGTCATCAAGAGAAGAGCAAAATTCGTGGACCCCAGATTTCAGTGTCCACAAATAAAGTTTTATTGGAACACAGCCATGCCCAGACACTATGTCTGGCTGCTTTTCCACCAACAGCAGCAGGGCTGAACAGTTGCCACAGAGCCTGCCTAACCTGAAAACTCTTGAACTTTTACAGAAATAGTTTGCTGACCCCGGGTGTAAATATCTGGAGAAGGCCTGGGAGGGGGAGGAGAGTAGGCAGTGCAGTTCAAGGGATGGAGACTGTTGGGGAGTGATGGGGGGGGTTGGTGCTCTGCCAGAAGGCGCTGAATCTCCATCTTCCTTTTCTTTCAGGTAAAACCTGTTTCCCAGGGGGTTGGCATACCGTGGAAAGTTGTTCAGCTGCAGCCTGGGCTGTGAAGGATCTGGAGCAGTCTCTCGTCCACGGTGTTCAAACCAAAACAAACGACATTCACGAAACTCTGGCTCCGTCATGTGTGTCCAGCGTCCATTCAGAGTGTCACCATCAAGCTTGTTTCCAAATCGCCACACGGGAGGAGTTGCCTCTGCTACTTTCTGGGTGCCCTTTTAAAATGTCACCCCTTCTCCTGCCTCCCTTTGGGTTTTTTTTTTTTGCCTTGCTAAAGCAAAGGGTAGAAACATGTTGAAAAATATTTTTAAAGCAACTGTTGACAATAGTGGAACTATAATTAGGAGGATCAAGAATCTAAGAACAGCCTGAAGAATCTTCAGCTGTAAACTTAGAATTCCTGCCACTCTGCTCTCCAGAATCTCTACGCTAGACATCAGGCCCTTTCCGCAATCTTTTTTGGCTTGGTGGGGGCTCAGGCCTTATTTTGGTGAGGGCTATATGAAATTTCAGGTGGGGAATGCTTAGACTGGTTGGCCCCTACTGGAAGTGAACCAGTATTGGCTCCTGTCCCCACCACCGCACACCTTTATTAAAGGGGATCAGCAGAAATAGGCCTGGCTAGTTCACAAAGAATTTTGAATTCCAATTATCAGGGAAAACAAAGTATGTGTGTTTGTGTATGGACATGTGTGTGAATATATATAAAATAATTTCTCCTCTCAAGGGAACGGAAAGCACTGGGCAGCTTTGGGTTGGTAACTGTTTTTTTTTTTTTTTTTTAATGCTTTTGTGTGTGTGTTGTGTGTTTGTTACAATTCTACATTGTTTGTCTTAGAAATATAATTAAAAATCACTGTGGTAATTTAAATCAATGGTGATTTGGCTGGGTCAAGTGAAGGACATGATTAGGGACTCTACTGGCCCTGAAGTCGGTCTAGACTGGGAACCTCCTGGACCCAGGAGTTTACTCATAAGGACCCCCTCCCTTAAGCGTGGGTAGGGTCTGAGGCAGGCCACTTCCCTGGGAGCCTGTGAGGTAACTTTATTCAGAGATACCCTGTGGAACAGGACCTCGGGAGACCTCTCAGATTGACAGAGGCCTCCCATTTTGCTCTCCTCCCATATTGGTGCAGCCAGTGCGTTTCTATTTCGAGCCTACTAGCAGTGCCTTTGGGACCCTGGTGTTCCATTCTGTCTCAAAAGGTGTTTTTAATTTTTTACCCTTCTCTTCCTTTCTGGCACTGCCCCAGGGTTGGTTAGGTTTGCCTGTCTATGGTCCTGTTCCGTTGGCCGGGATGAAAACTCCCACCTTCCCCTCCTCACCCCCATTTTAGGCTCTTCGGTTTCCTGAGAAGGGCTCTCTTGGTGGGAAGAGATGGGCAGGGGCTCCCGTGGCCCTGAGGCCCACCTGGGTGTGGGTGCTGTGTGACCCTAGCTGTTAGCAGGCGTGCTGGTGGCACAAAGGGAGCCCTGGAAGCCCAGGCCAAGTATAGCCCTGTGGCTGGTGCTGCTGGGCTGTCCGCTGCTGTGGCGCAGCCCACACGTGGTGCCTGCTGGGCCCGGCCCTGTCGTTTCACCTCCTTTGTTGACTCTTCTCCCCTCGGCTCTGTTTGTCAGAGGGGTGGGGCTGGAAGCAGAACAGCTGTGGCTGCGCTCTCCCCCACTCCATGGTGGTGTGCTCACGACCAGAGCAGTGCCTCGCAGCTGTGCGCCTTCTCAGCCTTTGAACTGGAAATGCCCAACTCTCATCTGCAGAGTCTTATGACTACAGCTCAATCGTCCAGAAAAGCTGGATTCTTCCGCCTTATGTCTAAACCCCGCGCCCTTGTGCTCGCCACCGGTCCCGGCTGGAGGGGACACCAGCAATGACTTTCTAAATCCTTGGTGGAACTTCAAGCACTACAGGCGCTTAAAATAAAGACCTTTTAGACATGAACCCCGTGTGCATTGGGTCTGGATATTTTCTGAGGTGGGGGCTGATGAGATTCTTTCCTGTGATTAGGAGTGTGGGTGCAAGGTTGTGGAGGAGGGAGGGCTGGCTCTAATTTTCCAGGTAGTTGTCATGAACCACATCCTGCATTCCTACCTGCAGGAGGTCCCTGGGTCCTGGTGATTTGGAAAAAGGCTTGGGAATGAAATGGTGCTACATACACATGAGCTCATTTGATCATTTCCTGGAAACTGGCTATAGGTTAGGAGATACTGCCCCTCGTTGTGTTTGGAAACTCTTGGGATATCTGCAGAGGACACAGAACTAATCATGTTAAAAAAAAAAAAAGTTAGCTTATCATTTCCTCACACCTGGGTCAGCATAAGATTTTTATGAGTGTGAATGGGATGCATGCATCCAGGCTGGGTTAATCCCTAAGTGAGTAACAGCCAGAAAAGGAAGCTTACTTTTTTTTTTCCCTCCTATTCTAACATGTCACTCTTGGACAGGACCAAAAAGCTGAAGGATATGCTCTACTTGACTTCTCTGCCCTTTCTTTCTCTTTTACCATGACTGTGACTGGAGTTCTCCGGGATAGCTCTTTATCCAAGCAGGATTGTGTTAGAGGCAAGCACTGGATGGTGGATGATCTCCCATCATCTCAGCTCCCTCCACTGAGCACCTTCCTGCCGGGCTGGTTCCTCCTGACACTCAGGGATACACCCTCATTGTGTTGGAAACTCTGGGGGTAGAGTTAAGTTTGCTTTGGTGCAAATAAATGACTTAATTCTCTGTGTGGTGTGTGTGTGTGTGTGTGTGTGTGTGTGTGTGTGTGTGTGTGCAGTTCTAGGGCCTGGATGTGTCCACTCCTAACACCACCAGTGTAGGAAAAGGATCTGTTCCCATGAGGCCTTCTGGCTGTTTCTACTGACAGGTGAGAATCAGTGCTTACCACCCTCCAGCCCAGCAGTGCCAGAATTTTTTGTGGCTTTTATTTATCAGAGAAAGAACACTTGATGTGGACTCAGTGTACAGTACCCAACATACAACTTTTGAAAACAGGGTTAATTTCCCATTATTATTGGGAACCAAATAGATGTGAACTTTCCAGATGGTTGTCATGAGCCACATCCTGCATTGCTACCTGAGTCTTTGGTCCACAAAGTACCTGGGTGTGATACTCTTTGTAAAGTGCCTCAAAATTTGCTTTTATTTCTTATATGAGGTTTAGTGAGTTAGCTTAGTAAACTCCATATTTCTTTCCCTCCAACATCCCCTCCAGTACTGGGTATTGAACCTAGAAGCATTCTACCTCTGAGCTATACTACCAGTCCCTATTATTTTTTTTTTTTTTAATTTTGAGACAGGGCCTCACTAAGTTGCCCAGACTAACCTTGAACTTGCAATCCTCCTGCCTCAGCCTCCTGAGTAGTTAGGATTAGAGGCATGTGCCCATGTGCCTAGCTTGAGGGGATGGGTTTTTGGATGAGCCAAGTCTACGTGGATGGGAACACAGTAAGCTCATATGTATCTGTTGGCAAAGCAGGTAGCCCACGGTCTCCAATTTAAATATTTAAATGGCTCATCTGGCATGGGCACTGTGAGCAGGTGTCGTGCTGTGGGTGTTTTGAATGCATTAGCCTCAGAGCCTGCAAAATTCTGCAAGGAAACCAGCTGGGAAGGACCAAGGATCAGGATGCAGGCAGGCCTCTATGTGATTCTTGGCCTTGCTGCTCGTGGTCTCTGCCATGTTAGCCTTACTCTCCCCACATATGAGAGAAACCATATTCCATTGGTTATTGTGATCATTAAAAGGTATAATTTAGCCAAGAACGTGCTGCAGATATCTGGCATGAGGGGACACTTGGGAATGGTCACCATTAATGATCTAGAGTTCCTCTTGTGTGCCAGGAACCTTTGCATATAATTCAGTTCTTCAGTGAGTCCTTGGGTAGGTGTTGTCCCTGGAATAGACTTGAGCATTCGGTGACCATTTAGGTAGGCCCAGGGCTGTTCCATTCAGCCACTTCCCCTCTCCTCAGCTCCCCATAAGGAAACAGATCCATTTGCCTAGCACTTCAACACCCTCTAAATCCTACTGACAATGTAGTGAGATGGGTGAATGCCTTCATTTTCTATGTGCAGGGATGAGTCTGGGAAGGTCAATCACTCTACAGGGTCACATGATTCATGAGGGGGAGGTCTTGAATCAGGAATCTCCTGCCCTTTTCCAGGTCATTTATGTGAAGGGAAGAGGTGGGATACTTTCCTTTTGAGACTCTAAAAGTTTACACTTGGGATGGCGGAATGCCTGAGCTGTGGCTTAAGGAGACTTAAATATAACAAAGAGGTGCCAACTCAGCTGTGTCCCCTCCTGGGGGTCGGGGGAAAGGAATTTGTAGGGCAAAGGGGCTATGTCCCCTGGAGCCCGCGCCTTTCCCTTTTTAGATTTCACCTGGGCATCCAGGATTCTGGAATGCTTTCTGCCCAAATGTGACTGGAATCTGATTGGGCTGTGTGCTGGGGAACATAGCATACCTTGTTGTATTAGTCTGCTTCTGTTGCTGTGACAAAATACCCAAGAAAATTAACTCAAAGGAGGAAAGTTTGATTTTGGCTCATGGTTTCAGAGGTTTCAGTCCATGATCACTTGGCTCTGGGGTTTCTGGGCTTATAGTAAGGCAGAGCCCCACAGTGGAGAAGGTGTGGTGGAGCAAAGCTGTCACCTTGTGGCAGCTACGAAGTGGAAAGAGTCACAGAATACAGGGACAAGATAGAGCCTTCAAGGGCATGCCCCAAAGGACCTACCACCTCCAGCTAGGCCCTACCTCCTAAGCTTCCACCACCTCCAATAGCCCATTAGATATATTATGAAGCAAGCAATGGATTAAGATTATGAAGCAAGCAATGGATTCATCCACTGGTGAGGGCAGAGCCTTCATGATCCAATCACTTCCCAAGGGCCCCTCCTCTGAACACTGCTGCCCTAGGTACCAAGCCTTCAACACATGAGCCTTTGGGGGACATTCCAAATCCAAATCAGAACACTTGGTCTCTCTCTTTGTCTGGCTCTCATCCCTGAAGAGCCCATCCAGAACATGGTGAGGTGAGGTCACGATTTGCCAAAATGGAGTCAGTTTGCAGGGATGGTGCACGTCTCCTCTCTCTCTCTTTTTAAATCAATGATGTAGAGATGAGCTTTGGGATGCCCACTGTTCCGCGATGGCACGTTTTTCTTTATAATGATTGTTTTCCCACACTGAGATTTTGAGACCATTGTTGATTCAGCCGGGCTTGACATCAATCCCCAGAATCTGATCTTTTCCCTCTCCCTCCCTGTTCCCCCGAGGTCTTGGTGAGTGTGCGTATACTCTTCTCTCCTTTAGCTGGAATCAGGACCCATGGAAAATAATTGCTGGAAACGTTCCGGAATAGAAAGTGAAGAACAGCAGAGTTGTATAAGTACCACATAAAGCAACTAATGAAATGGAATAATCTCTCTTTCATTTGGCAGCTCTGCCAGGTGCAGGGTATGCCACTGTGCAGACCAGCCTCCTTTTCTACACCATTCACTTTGTGCTGGTGTCCCCTTGCTGAGACCCTAAAATTCTCAGCTTCTCACAGCTTTGGGAGGCAAGGAGAGCACCCATGGTGGGTGCTCAGGACATGAACTATCATTTTGTTACACATCCAGCAGAGAATTGCGGCCCGGATGCTGGTGCCTGCTGGGCTTCCAAGGTGACCGGGGCTGGCACACTCCTGGCTTTCAGACCGTTGGGGTAGGAGGGAGATAAGGTCTGTGCAGAGCCCCATCATGGCCCACACTTCTGCTTCTCTGAGGCATCTGCATCCTGGCAACTGAGAGCAACAGCTGCAATTTATGGTGCTTTTATGGTGTTCCAGGGGTCAGGGTGTTGTAAAGAGACTCATTTGCATACTAAGCTGAAGCTTGGACTCTGAAGCCGGATTCCCTGGGTGTGAATCCAGGTTCTAACATTTACCACCTGTGTGACCTTAGGCAAATCTCTTAACCTCTGTGATTCCCCTCTCCTCATCTGTGACAGGAGAATCAGTAGTATTACCTTTCATCCGGGTATTGTGAACTGGATGTGTTAATGTCTTTTGAGTACTTTTGACACCGCGAGGCACGCAGCACTAATGTGTTTGTTCATGTATACAGCAGCGCTGCAAAGTAGCTTCTGTGTCATCATTTCTACTTTGAGAGTGAGGAAGCCAAGACTTTGATAATGACCTTGCCCAGATCCCTGGCTAGCAGTGGTCTGCCTGCTGCTGAAGGACTGGGCGTTATTCATGGTGTCACATTGCCACCCAGTGCTAGGACTCTGTCCAAGATGAGGGGCCAGGTATGTAGAGGAAGGATGACCCCAGCCAGGTCCACCAGGCTATTCTAGGTGGACAGAGAGAGTGCTGGCTTTCCAGAGAAGTGTGAGCGAGGCCTCTGGGGTCTGAAGGGGTTCCTTAGAAGATCTCAGATACTAGGTAGAGGGTCCTTTCCTCCTCCGCATTACTTCCACCTACTCCACCCCTTCGATCATTCAGTGTGAACGGTGGAGAAGGATGAAGCCTGCCTGAGTGCTGAACTCGGGCTGCTGTGGCCCATCATCTCTGCCTGATCATGAAGGGTCTGCTCCTGGTCACACCAGCAGTCAGGACTGGGTCCCATGTAGCTCTCACTCTGTGCTCTCCCGGGGCAGAGAACAGCGGTGACCATGCTTGTGACATGGAACAAACCCCACAAAAGCAGCTGCTGCCCATGGGCAGCCTGTCAGATGAAGGCTCCAAGGGCAGATGAAGCCAAGGCTCGTTGCTCATGACAAGCTTGCCAACACTGCCCCCTGCCCTCCCCGCTGTGCCCTGGTTTCCCCCTCAATGACTGCAATCTCTAGAGACCCTGGTGTGCCAGTCTCCCTGAGCCCTGTCTCTGAAACAGCCATTGTGGGAGCTTTGGATTCAAATTTATTTGCTCCCAGGCATCAATCCAGCCA